GAGTTTAGTAATTGTTGATTTCGTGTTCAGGGACTAATTCCTTGAGAGAGGATTAGTCTATTTTTGTGGTCCATGTTCTATAACAGGTCTTAATTAATTACCCTTGATTCATTGATTTCGTTTAGTTCCTCAATCCCTAAGAAATTTCCTAAGACCCAGCGCTTTTATCTTATCGTTTAATCAATCTTTATTTCATTGTTTATTTTATTGTTTTGCTTGATAACCCAAAACCAAAAAAAAACATTGCGTTTTAGCTAAGAACGAGTCTCGCAAATCCTTAGAGTATCTTTGGTCCTTGTGGATCGGCCTCGAATATACTACCTAACGGTTAGATATATCGGGTAATTACTCGAGCAATCAGAGAGAGTGAGAGCCATTCCCGAAGTCAGCTTCAAGACCAGACTTGCATCTTGGAGTGAGACACATTGCCCATCATCAGTTTCTCACAAGATTTGCATTTTTGATAGGTGATGAACATGTCTCTGTTGATGCAGATGTGGGTGGTAGCTTCAATATCGTACCACCACTCCATTGGGCTTTCGTTGGTCATTACCACATTTGCTTCAGTGACCACCGCACATAGGTCATCTTCAGTCAAATTTATTTGATTGGCTTGACTTTTCACCGATTTAGCTTTGTTGCAACACTCGACAGCTTTGTGACCCTGCTTATGACAGTAGGTGCACTTTCCAGCAAATTTTTTAAATTCACCTTGCTTCTTAAAGCTAGTGGAGACTTGAGGTGCTATCTTGTTATAGCCACCCTTGTTGGCCCATCGCCTTTGTTGTCGTGAACAACCTTGGCTTTACCCTTTTTTCTTGTATTCAGCCATATTTGCATCATGAGTAGCTATAAACCCAGATTTGTCTCTCTTGTTTGACTCATTCTGCAGCTTGGCGATAAAGTTCTGTAAACTCAATGGTTTTTGCTTGAATTCAAGGTAGTTTTTGAAGTCCAACCAACTTGGAGGTAACTTCTCGACAATGGAATTCACTTTGAAGGACTCACAGATCTGCATTCCCTCATCAGCTATCCCTTGGAATACCAATTACAGCTCATTCACTTGGTCCATGATGGGCCTCGAGTCCACCATCCTGTAGTTAAGGAAGTTCGATGTGGCGAATTTTCCAGAACCGACATTGAAGACTATGTACTGAGTTTCCAAGTTTTTCCAAAGGATCTTGGAAGTACTGACTTCACTATACACACTGTATAGCTTATTCACCAGGTAGTGTAAAATTTGGCCTTTGCACAAGTAGTCCCCATGGGTCCATTGTTGTTCAACACTAGCGATAACTGTTGGATCAGTATTACTCGGGGGTAACGTTGGTACGACCTCAACGAGATACCTAGTTAGAATCAAGTTGTTTAGATAGAAATGCATCTTCTTATGCCACGACTTGAAGTTGGATCCATCGAGTTAGGCACATACACAATAGCATTTAGCAATGATCCAAGTGGCTGACCCTTTGTCTGCTCAGTTGGTTTTATCGTTCCATCACCTCCACCGTTCAAGGCAGCGTTTTCAAATTCATTAGTCATGAAAGACAAAAATAATGTCACTATTGAGAACAAATTTTAGGAATAGCGATAAAAACAATTTAATGCAATTCGCTAAGATAAAAATATTTTGTGGATCTCGTTATAAAACGTTCCTAGAATCAATTTTAAAAGTCTACAAAAATTGTTTATCAAACGTATGTAGAATCATTTTTGATCGCTCGGATCGTATACATAAACGTTTCGCGGAACTCGCCCATAGGCCTTCATGGAAACTGTGTTGATCGTGAGGATCATATAAGGAATCGTTTCGCGAAACTCACCCGAAGGCCTTCGCGAAAATCGTTTCTGTATACCTTGTAATTGTATATCGTTTGATTTAAACGTTCCACGAAGTTGCTAAAAGCGTTCGCAGTAGCGTTTGTATCGATATGAAAAACGTTTTGAAAACCGAATAAAATTGTTTTTCAAGACTGTTCGAGTAAGGATCCGTAATACAATAGCAGACACGGATTAGTTTGGATTACGACTATAGGACCGTGAAATCTCAATTTGTAAACAGAGAGAGAACTTTGTAAAACGATTTAGGAAAGACGATTTCAAAAACGAGTGAAGGCGAGATATGATATCGCTGCATAAATGTAACAAAAGCCTCATAAGTATTTCTCCAAACAGAATATATTTTGTGGGCCATTGGCCCACATTCCCCAAGGCCAAGGCCCCGGCGCACAGCGGCGCGTGGTTTGTTTTGCATAATGTGCATGTATCTCCCACACCATAGTCACCCGTTTCCAATAGCTAGTGAACCATGTTATAAGTGAAACACGTTATACTGTATACTAGAGAGAAAATTTTCAAATTTTCATCGTGGGACAATTTCATATTTTGTTATTACAAGCTTTTAAGTTAACCACTTTGGACCTCAATTACTCATTCAATATAACTTTAATTTTTAGTGCTCATTACAAGGAATCCAAAGACCCATTATCCAGTCATTCCGATGACGGACTTCACCGGAAAAGTTGCCGGAAAGTTGGCCGGAGCCACTTTGTAAAAAATGTGTTCCAACACTTACAACGTCAATTGTACACCTGTTCTCTCTCCCGCTCCTCCCGTCTTTTCTGATCAGTCCCACTCTTCGGTTCTAGGTTACTCATTGTATCCTTTGACAAATTACTTTTCTGATGATAATTTTTCCTAGGCCATTGAGGCTCTGTTCGTTTCTCCCTTCAGATTTATCATCTGGATGGAGATGAAGAATGATGTTTGTTTTTGATTATTTAACAGAGCATTTGGATGAATAAGTTGGATGGATCATATGAATGAGTTTGTAATTTTAGGCAAATTTGTCAAACTCATCTGGATGAACATGATTGGAGCATTTGGATGGAGATAATTCAGCCAAAAATAACAAATTACAAATATACCCTTATTTACAATCATATATTAAATAATGTTTATTTCCATAGATTTCTCATTTTATATTCTAAAAATCGCATATTTGCACCAAAAAGAAATCTCTAAAAATCGTAATTTCATTTTCCGTCAAAATCATAAAATCGCGGAATTGGGTTTTTTCCTGCCAAAACGTGAAATCATGATTTTTGATAGAAAATTTTGGAATTCGTCAAAACCGCAAAATCATGTTTTCCGCCAAAACCGCAAAATCATATTTTTCGTCAAATCATGTTTTCCCGCCAAAACCATAAAATCATATTTTCCCGCCAAAACCGCAAAATCATATTTTCCCGCCAAAACCAAAAAAAATTGAAGAATAACATTTTCCACCAAAACCGTGAAATCATATTTTCCCGCCAAAACTATAAAATCACGATTTTGGCGGGAAAATTACGGAATTTTGTTTTCCCGCCAAAACCGAAAAAAAAACTGAAGAATTGTGTTTTCCACCAAAACCGTGAAATCATATTTTCCCGCCAAAACTATAAAATCACGATTTTGGCGGGAATATTACAGAATTCTGTTTTCCCACCAAAACCGAAAAAACTGAAGAATTGTGTTTTCCACCAAAACCGTGAAATCATATTTTCCCGCCAAAACTATAAAATCACGATTTTGGCAGGAAAATTACGGAATTCTGTTTTCCCGCCAAAACCGAAAAAATTGAAGAATTGTGTTTTCCACCAAAACCGTGAAATCATATTTTCCCGCCAAAAGTACAAAACTTAATTTTCCTATAAAATCATATTTTCTCGCTAAATCAAAATTTCCCGCCAAAACCGTAAAATCATATTTTTCGGCAAATCATATTTTCCCGTCAAAACCGTAAAATCATATTTTTCCGCCAAAACCGTAAAATTAATTTTTATATGTTAAAATCATAGTTTAAAATTATTTATTTGTAAATATATTTTAGAGCAATAATTAAATTATTATAGCTAAGATTAAAATTAAAATATAATTAGATTAAAAGTATGGGTATTTTAGTCATTTTCTTGTTAAAGTCATCTAGATGCAAATGAAGATTTATAAAAATTAAGCAAACAAACAAAAGTTCATTTAGATGCTCCATCCAAATGAATATCAAAAAATTGAAATGAACAACATTCAGATGGAGCATTTGAATGAAACATTTAGATGAACCATTTGGATAGAAATGCCAGATGATCAAACGAACAGGCCCTGAGTTTATTTGGTTGCTATTACCTTTAATGTCGAACCAAATTATTTTAAAGAAGCTGTTCAGATTAAAGTCTGGAACGATGCTATAAAAAAGGAGGTTGAGGCTTTTGAAGCTCGCCTTGATTATTACCGAGAACAAAGGTAGTCAATGGGTTTACAAGACTAAGTAAAATAATGGTGATGGTTCCATCGAACGTTATAAACTCGCCTTCTTGTTCTCGGTAATAATCAAGTTGAAGGGGAAGATTATCACGAAACTTTCGCTCCTGTTGTTCGAATGTTTTGTGAAATATATTAAGGTTTTAATTTGTTGCATACTCTCAAAGGAAAAACATGAATTGGGGCTGCACCACGGCCCAAACCACCTCTGGTTCAAATTATCGTAACAAATTATTATTTAGTTACAGATATTGTTATGCTCAAAAAAATTTTAAAAAATTATATGTGCTTTAGTTTCATTCGAATTTGATTTTTTTGGTTTTATAAAATAAAAATTTTGCGTGTTGACATTCCTCTCCAAAAAACAAATAACATAAGTTGACAGACAAAATACAAAACAAGATCAAAGTTATGAGAAAGGATTCCTTGTTGGCCAATGTTATTTCTTATGAATAACTTGAAAAGGAAATATCCCTTATTTTTAAACATGATAAAGATTGGTTAAGTTTTATCCGTAAGACTTTCCTTTTTAATTTATTTTATTTTCCTTTTTTAAAATCGGGTACTTCAAAACTAATATCTAAGTAAACTTTTTTGAAAATAATTATTGATTAGTTATTTCGACCAATCCAACTTTTATTAATGAAAATATATATTAGTCGATCCAACCTAATTAGAAAAAAACATTAGGTCGTGTAGAGATGGAGGCTAAGAAGAGAAGAGGCGTAAACATTCCACATGACATTGTAGAAGAGATTCTAGTGAAGGTTCCGGTGAAATCACTAGTGAGATTCAAAGCCGTGTCAAAAGAATGGAGAGGAACCATAGAATCAAAGTTGTTCGTAGATAAACACACCAGGTCTCAGAAATATCTAGCAGAAGGACAAGCGAGAATCGTCAGGGTTATATCATTGTATGGTAGAACAATACGCAAACGTCTCCCTCTAGAAAATCTGGTGTTCATGCCTACCAATGGAATCGTTCATAGTTCTCCCTATCGACTCATTAGGCATCTTCGCCTTCCTCCTCAAGGTTATAAGATCTGCGAGCCTTGTGACGGTTTGTTTTGCATCTACACCAGTGATTGTGAATTTAGTCTTGTTAATCCTGCCACCACTAGCCGTCGAATACTCCCTGATCCTGATCCTGTTCATGATCCCTTTGATGCCACCTTGCCGTGTACTTTGGTAGGGATTGGAAGAGAGAATACTGTGAGTCCAAGGTATAAGCTAGTGTGGTTTTTCCAGGGTCATAAGGAAGTAGTGAATGACACTGCTAGGTGCAAGGTTTTTGCTCTTGACACTAATACTTGGAGAGACGTTGATCCGCCTAATTGTCCAGTTTACTATGACCAACCTATAATTCACTTGGATGGAGTGCTTTATTGCTTCAGCTTCGAAATGAAAGAGAGCTTTATTGTTCCAGATTACAATAAACAGTACGACGTCAAGCTACTAGCTTTTGATCTTAGCACAGAGACGTTTCAAAGCTTTTCAGTTACTCCGGATATCGGGTTTACAACGATACATGAATTAAGCATTTGTGTTCTTAACCATCGTCTATGCATCTTCAGGAAAAGGCGTTTTATAAACAGAAACGACCTTTTCTTCAACATCTGGGGTCTAGACATAAACAAGAGATCATGGGAAATTATGTTTTCCATAGAACTTTCTTGCTTCCCAGAATTCGAAAGCAAGATAATCATTCCGGTGGCATCAATCAACAATTATGTTATCCTTTCAAATGTTTCTCGTACCATCTGGGTACTCTTTGGTTCCAAAACCCATATTTTGCGTAGCAACTTTTCTTATGGTAAATACTTTATGTCTTTTTATGAGACACTAGTCTCTGTTTACCAGTAAGGTTCTGTTGTTACTTTACTATACAGCATATATATAGCTGTATTTCTTAAATTTTATATACTCCTATCTCTTTTTTGGGTTCTCTAATACACAAACCGCATTTTGAGCAGCACATTGTTTCTTTTTTTAAAAAGAATTTTCTGTATGAAGCTTTCTGTTTTAGCAACATTCTCTTTGAGGTTCCATTCAAGTCTCTCTGCTTCAAGTGTTTTGCTCCAAATTAATTGTTCAACTCTGTATATATACAGTTCAAGTTAAAGGATGTTCAGTTTATTGTAGTTATAGATTGTCATTCATTTTTTGATTAAGGAAGATTCTCTGTGTACTAACATGGTCATCTATATCGATCTCGCAGTTTATTGTCTTCGGGTGATACATGAAATTTATATGATATATTGTGTGTTTGTTTAGGCAGCTTGGACATGCTGAGAATATGTTGAGCTATGATTTTATTCTCAACTTTTCAACCAGACATGAGGTAAGGAAGTATTTGAAAGTTTTAAATCTTTTAACGGAATTTTCAAAAATTTCGACCGTTCTAATTGGTTCTTTGATTTGCTAAACAAGAGTAAAAAAAGTGGATTGGTTTTTGTGAGGTCAGATTTTCGTCTGCTGTTCATAGGATACTAGGGAAATTTGCATAAAAACGAAGAATGGTTTCCGATTACGTATCTTTAAGGTAAAAAGTAACTATAAAGCACTAATTAATCACGTGGAAAATTTGTGTTCTCTTGCTCTGTAGATATAAGAACTTTATCTTATTGACATTGACTTTCCATTGGCTTGATTAATTTATAGCCTCGTCGAAGATGGTTAAGAGAACAATATGAAGGGACGAGAAAACATACGAGGTTAGTGTATGGAAGACCTCATCCGGTACATAAGAAAAGGTCTCTCTACAATTTTTTTGGGTTTTCTTAGTCTTTTATGCTTGATATGTACGTATTTAAATTAATGATCGTGGCCACATGAAAAAATCTCTATAAAATTTTGAGTATTAAGACCTTCGTAGGTTTGACAAAAAAAAAAAAAAAGGCCTTCGTGGAAGAAGGTTGGGGTAGTGGATGAAAATGGGAAGGGTTGAAAAGTTTATAGCATTGGATGAGATTTGTTATGTTGAGGTGGTGCAACACTTCTTTATGTTTAAGGTTTAACTAAAGTTTAGGGTGCTATTTTTGGAAAAAATTACATTTTAGTGATATTTTTGTCAATCACCCAATTGTAAATAACATTATCTAAACTATGAATATACATATTCAGAAAAATTCTTAAATCGGGGGCAATAAAATATTTATTTACCTAATTTTGTGTTAAGCTCAAAAGATTTTCTTTCTAAAATTAGTATTCTACTAATATTAATTCAGATTGTATATACATAGCTATTAGGAAAATCTTTGTGTGGTGAATAATCGTTCCTTTAGATGATCTAGTTATCTACTGTCACGTCACGAGTGGAAAATCCTTAAAAGTTTGGGTATTTATCCATCAAGACCCAAACGAATCTATGCTATGGGAAGGCTTTTTAGGCTTTTCTTCGTTCGCTATTGGTGTGGCTACGCTATTAGGAGTCAAACTGGGAAAAGCTAGATGTGGGCATATGAGGAAGTAAATGACTTCGGGGAACGGATACAGTCATACAGTCCGGGTTTTGATACAAACATTACATGCCCGACCAAAGCTATACTTTATGTGTTCAAAACAGAGTAATTGTTCTTCATCATGTGTCATATCACATGAAACAGTTTTAGCATGTTATTGTAGTTGAGTTTTTCTGTAGACCTGTCAACTTTTCATTTGGACTGATGGAAAAACAAAATTATAAAGAGAGGATATATATTTTGTGTGAAATGTAAACGATATTTAGAGCAAGCTGATGTTAGAAATCTCTTAATAAATTAATTAGGTGAAATAAAAGAGATTTTTAGACCATCTCTATTGGTTATTTTTGGTGGGTGTCTAACTTTTTTTATAATTAATTTTAATGTTATTTAGTTATGAATATCTTTTAAGTGTGCAAAAATGAATAGAGATGGTCTTAGGGTTGTTTCAATCCGTGTTCAGAAAGTGTTTTATACCAAAGTTTTGTTTTTAACAAAATGTACGGTGACTATAAAGACACAAAAAAAAAAACAAATGCTTTATGTTTGATAAAAACCGAGTCTTCAAAAGTTGGAGAAGATAATTAAGAACAATATAAATATAATTGAACATTGTATTTTCATGTACAGTAAGTTTACTTTACAATATATAGGAAACATTGTTCCTTCTCAATAATCTAGTATATATAGTAAGTAAAAACGGATATGAAGATTTAAAAAATCCTCCAAAACCCATACAAATATAATAGTAACACAATCTCACTATATGGTCCTATAAACAAGTTTCAAACTAAAGAAATATTATAGTCATAAGAACCGCAACAAAAAGCTTGACGAGTATATTGTGTCTAAGCTGCAGATGGAGCTTTGACGTACTGAAGCACACCGGCTTCGGACAAAGCTTCGATAAACTGCTGAAGTGTCTGTTGCTTCTTGTGGCCGTCTCCAATAACAACATTCTTGTAATCAAGAGACTCGTCATTGTAAATGTCCCACCATTTCTTGACCAGCATATTAATGTCTTCTCTGTCCATGTTCTCTTCTTCTCCAGTGAATCTGATACAAATACCACAAACAACTTTCAGAAAATTTAAATCCACAACTTTCCTATAAACAAATTAATTTATATTAAAATAGCTCATATAGTATTATTATTACTCCTAAAGTAAAGTTCATGAGAAGAATGTTTGTGAATTTTAACTATTTTGGTTACATAAAATTGTTAGAACATATTTCTAATGTGAAAATTTTAGATATTCCAATTAAATTTGCAGCATTTAGTTCTACGATTTAGTACTACCTTCAACTTATTTTTAGTTATATGCAAAGATATTATTTTCTAATATATTAAAATTTTGGCTTCAAATATAGAGAAGTAAATAAACTTGATTGGACGCCAATATATATATAAAAAGAGAAACTTGATTGAAAATTATGTGAACTTGTAATAATCTTACCTCCAAGGCTTAGCACCAGCAGCACAGTAGTGGACAACTTTGACTTGGTCAAGCTCTATATTCTCTGGATGCCTCCAAAGCATTGCCAAGACCAAGTTATACACCGGTGGTATTGGCTTGTATATGTCCTTGAAGTACATATTCAAAAAGTCCTGTAACAAAAATAAACACAAAAAAACAAATGATTATAATATTTTTATGTACTTGTAATATCCATAATAATAATTAATAATAAAATTTTGGGTATTTATAGCTTAATAATTTCTTCTATATACCTGTTCAGCAAAAAGAGTGGGAGGCACAACTTTGACAGTCTCCAAGAGGCTATGATAAGTGGAGAGGTTAGGCTCGTAAACGAACATACCGGCGTTGAAGTACAAAGGCGGCTTAGGACCAATTAGCTCGGCCTCTGGCCATGTCACCTTGTCTGGACACTGTTGACAGTAGCCGATCTTGTACTGTGGCGAGTGGCTCCATGTCTTCTCGCAGAAACAGTCCATGACTGCGTAGAATTGGCCGTTTGGAAGATCAAACAAGTGATCTATGTTGTCGAACACTTGTATGTCACCGTCCAAGTATATCATCTTGGAGTACTCCACAAACTGCACCCATATATATTTTTATTATATAGAAGATATTATAAATATAAAAAAAGACCACTTAAAGTTGACATAAATATTTTTGGAAATATAATACAGTATAGTTTTAGTTTGTATAAAATACATAACTTACAGTTTTGAAAAATAAAAAATTAACAGAAAACATATGTATGTTGATTATAAATTAATATCGTAACCGAGTTTAATTATAACCCAAACGGTATACAAAATATCTAGATCGAGTCACTCTAATTTATTAAACCAAATTAACTAAAATTTATTTTGAGGAAGTTTAGAATTAAATTTACATAAAAAAAAACTTTTTAATTAAATATATAAAAAATAGTAATTAAAATTTTTTATTTTATTTTATTATATGTTTTTGAAACAAACAAAAGTTTTTGAAAAATAGAAAACCGAACTAACCAGAAAAAAATTATGCATACCTTCCAGATACGAAGCTTAGAGTAGTTGATAACGTAGTAAGCCATAGCAAACTCGGTTTGATTCTCCGGTGGATAAACCGGCTCTATCTCCTTAACTACACAGCCTTGATCCACCAGCTGTTTCCGGTGATCCTCCGGTACATCCGGCAAAACCGCCACCACCAGTGGATACTTGCTCTTAGCTTTCCTTAACCCCTTAGCAAGACCCACCACTCCTTTCACATAGTCTCCAGTTCCGGCGAGGAAAGTCACGTAAGCCCTCTTTTCTCCGCCGTAAGCGGTGGCTGAGAGGACCGGTCTGGTAAGTTTGGTATTGATCTCAGGTGCCATCTTCTTGTCTTTTAGAAAATACTTTTGTGTTTTGTGTTTGTTTTTGTTTTGTTTGAGTTTGTGTGTAGTGTGATGAGTTTGTTGGTGAAGCATAATGGTGCTTTATATAGAATTTTGTCTTAGTTAATTTAAAGATTAATTGCTAATTACTTTCGATAATTAAATATTTAAATACGACCGACTACTAAACGTTTCCAGAGAAAGATTTTGATCCAACGGCTATTGACCAATACGGTAGAATCCAACGGCTTAGGATACGCGCGCGAAGCTTCGTTTTGAATTGATTATTTGGATTTGGGTCCTACTTAAATCCAGGTGATGCCACGGCGTTACATATTGACACGTGTCAGTATCTGGACTGTTCGACTCATCAAGGTTTTTTAATAGCCCTGGTGGTGGTTGATCGGTCACTTATCACTATGTTCTCATTTCAGATACTACGACGTCGTTTTAGAAATTCAATTCTGTATTAGTGTGGGATTTTCTGATTGGTTATTTGGGTGACACGTGTCTACGTGGAATGTACTTGGCGGTGATGATGCCACGTGGAGAAGGAAAAGTCTTGTGGGACCATTTACCGTTTGGCCTATGTTAATTTCTTGTGGTAGTTTGTCTGACCGATGACCGACCGACTATTTCCGGTATATGTGGACGTTTAAATCAAAATATTTAATTGCATGACTCAAAAGATTATCTTTCGTCACTTTTAGATTAAACTTTTATGTTAATTTGTTTCTGTCAAACGTAATCCAAAGTTGGTAATACTTTTCGATATATAAACAAAGAAAGAATGTTGTGCGTTGCTTACATTTTGTTGTCGATATTCTATGTCAAAAAAAAAAAAATTGAACTTAAGAAAATGGTTTTGAGATTTTCTAAATATTTGCACGATATTATCAAATTGTTTAATTGTTACGAATGAATATTCTTTTCTATACTATAGTATTTGTGTTCAATTTGTACTCAAAATTTGAATAAAACTAAGAAAATATTACTTAAAATAATCTAACTAGACGGTTTTAGTAATTTCTTAAGTGAGGCAAACAAATAATATGTTTTTGTAACATAATTTTTTTTTTTTTGCTAAGCATGTTAATATCATTATAAATGAACAATCTGGTTTTACAACAGTTTGCTAAACCTATACATTTGATTCCTTGGCAAAAAAGATAAAAATAAGGAAATCAATAAAATTCTAGGAGAAGACTTGGTAGAATTCATCTCAGCCAACACGCCATTAACTTTCGAAAATTGCGTTTGATTCTTCTAGAAGTGATGATGTTTTTGATGTCGCGGTCTATGCACTTGAAGATTGAGCTTGCGGGGATCGTAATCAAGTTGTGGAGGACGTTGTTTCGCTGTTTTCAGATGTGGAAGATGGTGGCTTGGGCTGCTAACATAATTTTTTACATAAAACATTTAATTCATTAAACAAAATAAACTCTGAAGGATCTCGTGTGACCCACTAACAGTTTGGTCTATTTTCTCCATGTTAAATGTTTCTTATGGTAGTTTGTCCGACATATGACTGACCGACCATTTCGGTATTTCTCGTTATAGTCCACTATTTAGATATCTGAATCAGAAGTTTATCTTCGAAATGCAATCCAAAGTTGGTAATACTACTTTTCCATTTCTTATAATAAAGATCTGTGTTGAAGAATTTAGATATAAATTCAAGTTTTTTTAAAAATATTAAAATGTATGACTTTTCTCATTTGACGAGCAATTGTTCTGTATATTTAGAGTAAAGATCAAATTCATTTACCTGTGGAAGTAATATTATGTTTTACGTCTATAAAAAAATTCGATGAATAAAAAATTCGATGATTATATTTATTTTGAAAAAATAATCGAGTGAAAATACTTACAACTATATGTTTATTATTAAAAAAAAAAGAATATGATGCAAATGGTTATATTTTGTCACTTTAATTTTTGATTCTGCCAAATGCAAATTTGGTAATACTTTTTAGTTTCTTATAATATGGTTAATGTACAATTATAAAACTCTTTATAAATTTAGAGGTAGATTCAAAATTGTTTTGGGTTGGGTAGATCAGTAGATGTATGATGCATTCGTGGGAGTTTAATTATCTTTAATTCAACAAGTAAATTTAAACTTAGGTGAAAAGTTTAGCTGTGAATTTATAAGTGGGCCGACCTTGCTTACTATAATAAAGAGGACAAACTAAAAAAAAATGGAGAATAGTAGTTTATGGAGTAGACTTCAACACCTTTTGACTAAATCCTTGCGTAAGAATATTCTACGGAATCTAAAAACAAGATTGCATACGAGTTCTAATTTTTCAAGAAACTCCAAACCGGTGGTTCTTTTTTTCTTTTATCTCGCAATCAAAAGTTCTGATCCTATATCTATAATTTCTTCAGATGTTAAACTAATTTGGCTTCTTTTTCTTATCTTAACTAATTTCAATCTGTCATCTTGAATTTTGTTTCTGTAAATTAACTAACTAATACATCAGTTGAACTGTTGAAGTATCTATTAAAGATCAAACCGATAATGTTTTTTTTTTTTTTTTCAGTATATATCTTTAGAATTACTGAAACAGAGGATATATATATATTTTCTATTTAAAGAAAAGTCATCAAATAAAATCACCAATCTGTCATTTTATTTGCTCACTATAAGAGGGTTGAAAATTCCAAAAATATAATTCTCCCTCTTTTTCAATTTATTGAAGTTTAAGGACAAAACAATTGTTTCATTTTATTTGATGTCTACATCTTATTGGTGGAATAGTTTTTAATTGGTGACAAAAAAAATTTTAGTTAGATAAGAAATAATCTTTCAAAATTAAAATAAAATAAAAAATGAAATAATTTTTCATTTATATGCCAAAACCGTAAATAACAAATAAATTGAAATAGAAAGAGTATTGATTTAGTTTAATACAAAAATTTATATGGATATACCATGTTAGTTTAATACAAAAATTTATATGGATATATCATGTTAGTTTAATACAAAAGTTTTGTAAGAATATGGGCTTCCAACTCAAAACTAATTGGCAATGAGTGGAGTGGCCCATATCCCTTATATATTACTTAGGACATTATGTTCTAATACGCCTCCTCGAGATGATGACTCTTTGGCCATTAATCTCGGAATGTTCGGGCTTCGATTAACGGCATCAATTTTGGGTCTTGTCGATGATTGGACCATCTTTGGGTCGGATCGGGTTGGACATGTGTGGATCGGATTCTGATACCATGTAAGAATATGGGCTTCCAACTCAAAACCAATTGGCAATGAGTGGAGTGGCACATATCCCTTATATCTATACTAGTATTTTTGCAACACTTTGGTGACGGGTGGGTAAAAATGCTTCCGGATATATCGGATATCCGACCCGTTTTTAAAATTCTTTCACAAATAATTTGTTGGGTCGGGTTATATTTAACCCAACTCATACACCGGATATTCCATATTTATTAATTTAGATATTTAAAAGATTTGATTAAAATTTATAATTATGATTCCCCTATCATCTTTGTTTGATTTGTTTTTAACTGTTTTGAATCATCATATAATACATAGAATAAAAAAAATCAATTTTTTCTACATATACTGTGATTCAAAATTTAAAAAACGGACATATACGATCCAATTGACGAAAATGTGTGTTCAACGTTCTACATCGATTAAAATATTTAGACAATGATTCAGAATCATATCATAAATAAGAACACTAATAAAATAAATGATTTTTTTTTGCCGGACGGGTTTGGCGGGACGGGTTTTTGAATCAACAATAATAAAAAGATTAAAATATCATTAATCCGCCGCTTCAATACGGATTAAATCCTTTTTTTAATACCACAAATATTAGACATATTAAATCAGTTTCATTTAGAAACAGAGCCGTAGCTGGATAGAAGCAAGAGAAGCGGGAGCTGCGGCCCTCCGAAAAGTTATTAATATTTTCGGCCCTCAAATACCAATGTGTTTTGGTAGCCTAGTGGTATTATGTCATACACCACATATCTTAGGTCATGAGTTCGAATCACCTGAAGTGTGAGAGAAGTTTTTTTTTTGTTTTTTGATTTTTTATGGTTAAATTTTTTTATAAGTATACACTTTTCTAGAGCGGTCCTTTTTTTTTTCGCGGGCGGTCCTCATAATCGTTGCTACGGCTCTGTTTAGAAAATATTGTATAAAACCAAAAATTGTCTCGTGGTATAATGTCCCGTGGTCTTAGAGGATGATATGATTTGTAAACTTTTATATATAATAAATAATCATTAAATTTTAAAATAAAAACATATCACAGGACGGGTTAAGAAATTACGGGACAAGTTATATTTCGGAAATGATTTATATGGCAGACGAATTTGAATCAATATTTATATACCACTTTAATACGGTTTAAATCCTCTATATATTTATAATTGTCTCGTGGACTCGTGGTATACCGTTACTTAATAACAGTTATAAACTATAATATAAATAAATATGTTATAAGGAGATACAATTTACAAAATATTTTTTATACTAACTTTAAAATTAAATTATTCTGCGGTGTACCGCGGGTTAAAATCTAGTATTACTTAGAATTTCTTCCAACTTTCCGATGTGGGACATTATGTCCTAATAAGCTTATCTTAAAAAAAAGAAGAAAAAATCATTAGTTTTTCTTCTTTATAGTCGAAGTGTTCACAAATATCGCGAGAAGAATGTAGTAGAATAAACTAATATTTTCTTACCGTCAAAAAGGTTAGAGTTTCTATTTCAAAAAATCCAAAACTGGATTTTGCGTTCGAGATCATATAATATAATATATCAAACACACTAAGTTAGTAACTATAAAACATTATAAATTGCTCTAAAATTACATTTTCTTTCTATTTATACCGTTTTACTCCTTTTTTTGTGTATATATAATAAGAATTCTTCCTTTGTTGCATCGTTATATAAATGTTCTACTCTTTTCTTAAATTTCTTTATCTTTAGAGTGCTTAATTCTTAATTATGAAGAATTTCAAGGTGTAAACAAATCATTTATCTAATTAGTGTATATAATCATATTTCAAATTGAACTTCTTCACGTTAACACGAGTTCCCAATGAGAACTCTTTAGATTTTCAACCTAAAATATTGTTACATATTCCCAGAATCATTTCATTATAGTTTTCATATCCATACCTCTAAAAGTTTCAACTCGAAAAAGCTAACAAAAAACTACATAAAAGTCCACCACTTCTATAAGCCCAACATAAGCCCATTAGTCTACCATTTCAAACGTATTTGAATCCTCTGACTGGCCCAGAGTATTCGTGTTCTAAGCCAAATCCCAAACATGAACAAATAAAAAACCAAAATCGAGAAAAAAGAAGAAGCATTCGCAGATTTGGGCTTCGAGAGCAGAGATGCTTCAATGTATATTCCTCATCTCCGATTCTGGGTTAGTGAATCTTCAACCCCTTCTTTCCTCAGATTCAGATCTACATCGATTGATCAGTCTGAAATTTTGGACTTGACCCATCTTGTGTTCACAGAGAAGTAATGCTAGAGAAGCAGCTTACGGGTCATCGCGTTGATCGATCCATATGTGCTTGGTTCTGGGATCAATCTATTTCTCAAGGCGATTCCTTTAAGGTAGTCTTATAGCAAAAGTTCTCTTTTTTCTTCATAACTGTGAGTTCATTGGTTCTTGGGTTTGTCAAGTTTCAATCTTTTGTCATTTCATGTACAAATTTGATCCAAAGTTTGAGACTTTATCTATTGGGTCATCTTTAGCTCTTGATTTTACTCTCTTAGTGTTTGTCTTATGCATTTTGTTGTGTTTTGGATAGTTACTTCCAGTGATTGCTTCACCAACACATTATCTATTTCAAATCGTTCGCGATGGCATTACCTTATTAGCTTGTAGTCAAGTTGAAATGCCACCGTTGATGGCAATCGAGGTGAATCTTTTGCTTCTTCTTTGTAGATTTCTAATGTTGTGTTAAGGGTAGAATGCAGATCATGTGATGTTTTTGTAACTTTGTGAAGTTTAGTTTCTTTGCAGAGTTGCTGATGTTTTGTCTGAGTACCTTGGTGGGTTAAATGAAGATCTGGTTAAGGATAATTTCATCATTGTCTATGAGGTAATCTTTGTTACACGATATGTATTTTACGAGCGAGCTCTTTTTCTTGGCCGAAACTGTGGTGGCCATTATGGTTTCTACACGTTGTTAGTCTAGCTCCTATGTTCTGTCTTGTTTCTCTTGTGGGATGTGGCTCATATGTTACTTCGAGTTACCATTTGTGCTAAGTTGTGAGACTAAAAAGGCATTTTGGCATACGGTTACAGCGTTTCTTTGTGTGTTTAATCAGTTTGTGGTCGCTGATTCTTAATATTTGATCTGGAGAATATATGTTAATCGTTACATTTTATAGCTTGTATTGTTCTTGTTTGCTATGTTAATACCGTAATGTCTTCTCATTTCTCTAGTTTCACTGTTCTTGGATTGCTTTTTGACATAAACAATTGTAACATTTTCAACCTTAAGTGATTGAGAAATTAAGATTTGTTATCGAAAATACATCATTTTGTTGAGGTTTAATGTGTCGGATTATCCTCATTTTCCTGTGTACCTGCTATGTTGATTTGGAGTAACTGAGAGATTTAACAATGTGTGATTAATAGCTTCTTTGTGTATGCCAAAGTTTATCTTTTGCTATGGCCTCACCCTTTCTTGGATTGCCTTAAACTGAATAGTTACAAAAATTTGTGACTTGTAGCTTTTGGATGAGATGATCGATAATGGTTTCCCTCTCACAACAGAACCAAGCATCCTGAGGGAAATGATAGCTCCACCGAATCTAGTCAGCAAAATGTTGAGTGTTGTAACGGGAAATGCTTCCAATGTTAGTGACACGCTCCCGAGTGGGGCTGGCTCTTGTGTTCCATGGCGACCAACAGATCCAAAGTACTCTAGCAACGAAGTTTATGTCGACCTCGTTGAAGAAATGGATGCAATTGTAAACAGGTTTGTGCTTGAAGAAGATTCACTAAATCTTCATTTAACCTTCAAGACTCATCTAACTCAAATCATACTTGTGAATACATTGACTGATTCAGGGATGGAGAATTGGTAAAATGCGAGATTTACGGTGAGGTCCAAATGAATTCCCAGCTCAGTGGTTTTCCAGATTTGACATTGTCGTTTGCGAATCCATCTATCCTCGAAGACATGAGGTTTCACCCGTGTGTCCGCTTCAGACCGTGGGAATCTCATCAAGTTCTCTCCTTTGTCCCTCCAGATGGAGAGTTCAAGCTTATGAGTTACAGGTGTGTGGTTTCACAACCAAACGTTATTCTTACACTTTCTTGAAGGTTTATTCTAATGTCTAAGTATCTCTGATGCAATTTAGGGTGAAGAAGCTGAAGAACACACCTGTATATGTAAAGCCACAAATAACATCAGATGCGGGTACATGTCGAATTAGCGTGCTAGTGGGAATCAGAAGCGACCCAGGAAAGACGATTGAGTCCATAACCTTGAGTTTCCAGCTTCCTCATTGTGTTTCATCTGCAGATCTCTCATCAAATCATGGAACTGTAACTATTCTCTCTAACAAGGTAATATGTTGTCTGGCTTTGCTTTGAGTTCAATTTCCGGATTGGGAAACTTTCCTTTTTGATTAGGGACTATGTTTGGCAGACATGTACATGGACAATCGGACGAATCCCAAAAGACAAGACTCCGTGTTTGTCAGGAACACTAACGCTGGAAACAGGTTTAGAACGGCTTCATGTGTTTCCGACATTCAAACTCGGGTTTAAGATAATGGGTATTGCTCTTTCTGGCCTTAGAATCGAGAAACTTGATCTTCAAACTATCCCTCCTCGTTTGTACAAAGGGTTTCGTGCTCAGACACGCGCCGGTGAGTTTGATGTCAGATTGTAGCTTTCTGGTACGGTCATGCCGGTCAAAAGTCTTGACTTTGGGCTCCTGTGAATTATTTGTGCCAAATGGTTTTATACATCCAATGGTTTTTTGTGATCTAAGTTATGATATTTTTAGGGCTTTGATCTGTAACACTCCGAACTTGCGGAAATGGTGGAATGCAATTAGTGGAAAACCTGATGTAACTATGAATTCTCATTCCATTTTATTGAATATTTTAATTCTCCGTGTTTATGCATAGTTAAGCTTAATTAACTACAGAAGATCATAATTAAGAAAGTGGCAATGAAAGATATTATAACAAGAGTTTGATTGTAAAAAGATGACTTTGATCGTACAAGAGTTTGATCGTAAAAAGAAAAAGTGTTTGTGCTTAAGAGTTTGATCGTAAAAAGAAAAAGTGTTTGTGCTTAAGAGCTTTGTGTAGTCTAAATGCTAGAGCGATGTTCCCCCATTCTGTGAGAGCCTTGAGTCTCTTTATATAGGGGTGATAAACCGCCTCTCCAGCGATATTCTCGGAAGATTTCCATTTATCTTGAAGTCGGCTAGAATATCGCGGATTTGGATAATTTCCTTATTCTTCGGAGTCTTTGGAAGATTTCCTGATTCGAGTCGATCCTTCTAGATTTTCTCCTATCATTTCCGGGTATATCGGAAATGATATCTTGCTTAGAAATGATCTTTGAAGGCAAATATTTACCAAGTACTTGCCTCAGGTGTATTGATGATTTCGCCTCGGCCACCTTGGAGACTTCCTAGTGCTCGGCTCAGGAGACAATGTGACATTCCCGAACCGAAATATTCACCGGGCTCGGGTATCCACGAGGGAACCGGCTTAGGTACCCAAACCGCAGATGGGCTCGGTCGCTCGGACGTAGAACAAGCTCGGGTGTTCAAACCAAGGAAGGGCTCGGTCGTCAAATCGGGCTCGGACATCGGGCTTGGGTGTCTAGTTGGTTTAGCAGAATCCCGAACCGGATGGCAAAGTGTCCGAGCCGATCAGCGTAGAACCCGAGCTGGTGGAGAGATCGTTCTGAACTGTTTTGAGAGGATCCCCCGAGCTGGCGTGCACGTTTGTTCAGGACGTTGTGTTTGGCTCGGTCCTAGGTGGATGGAATCTGATCCCAACAGTTAGCCCCCCAGCTCGTTGTCTTGAGGAGCAAGTGACGAGCTTCACGATTGTTAGTCCGAGCAGTTTAAACTTTGTTCCGAGCCTATCCTTATACGCCGAGGCTATCCATGTTTCGAAGATGATTCGTATCCTTTGGCGATTTATATTCTTCCGACGATTCAAATTCTCTCGACGCTTCACCTCCTCTTAGCGTGTGATGGTTGAAATTCTTTCTCGAGAAGTGGAAAGATCTCTGCTGATTCCCGAGATTCGTGCGGATACGAAGCGTTTTAGTATTGTTCACGCATACCCGACGCGCCTGACACGGGCGGATGCGAGAGGCTCTATGATTCATGCGTATCCGACGCGCCGAGGCATCCTATAAATACTTGACTCCTACTTCGTTTCCTTATTTCGCAATCTGCAAGGAAACATTTTAAGGTTTGCTTCTTTTCTCTCTGATCTTGATTTCTTTGTTGTCCCTTGCTCCGCTTTATTTTCCGATCTCTCTCCGCCGTGTTAGATCCTAGATTTGATTTCTCCGATCTTCGAATCTTGTTTTTCCGACGGTTCCTTTGATTCTCCCGAGCCAGAAAATGTCGCTTTCAGACTCAAGCGATTCAAACGCAGTAGATGGTTTGGAGCAGTTCAGATGGGTCCGAGGCCAGTTTGTCAGATCGACCCGAGCCGAGCAGTAGAGCAGAATCGTTGTCTGAAGACCGAGAGGATCCGAGCCGATTCGTGGTTCGGGAGGACGCGGTTGCTGACATGGCTCGGGACGAGGATTTTCCTGATGACCCCGAGGCGGTCTTGAACAGGAGGAGGAGGATGCTTGATCCTAGGATGGATAAGTGCTCGGGAAAATGTCATGGTAAATGACTACTAAAGGTGTAACTTAAATGATTGAGTCCTCGGGAAACCGAATTATGAACTTGAACAGTAGTGTTGGTGAGCCGGAAGGGAATTGAGGCAAGAACGCGATTACATTCTTGGAAACCAAAAGAGTTTGCCAAGATGAATTGGTTAAGCCAAGATGATTACCCAAGGGGCAAGAACTACACGTGTATCAAGTGGATAATTATTCGGAGAGAAGGGCTGATCATAAAGTTGAAAAAGTTAGGCTAAGTGTTTGGCGGATAAGGAAGTTGAGGTGAATGAGATTGATGTGCTTGAGGAAAGGTTACCCAAAGCATGATCGGGCACCAAGATACGAGCCTTGTAGTCAAATGACTTAATATAACGAGGAAAAAGGTATTGATTTATTCGGAGAATGACCAAGATCAAGGGAAGTTAGATCTCGTCGGAATTTAACAAAGATCGGGAAAGACTTGATCTATTCGTTGAAAAGATCAAGGGGTATTGACCGAGTCCGGTAAAGGACCAAGGTCAGAAATTATTGACTGAGTCCGGTAAAGGACCAAGGTCGGAAATTATTGACCGAGTTCGGTAAAGGACCAAGGTCGGAAAAAATGACCAAGTCCGGTGTGGACCAAGGTCGGGAAATTATTGACCGAGTCCGGAGTGGACCAAGGTCGGGAAAAGTGACCGAGTCCGGTGTGGACCAAGGTCGGGAAATTATAGACCGAGTCCATAAAGGACCAAGGTCGGGAATAATGATCGTGTCCGAAAAGGACCAAGGTCGGGAATAGTGACCGTGTCCGCAAAGGACCAAGTTTGGGAAATATTGGCCAAGTCCGGGTTGGACCAAGGTCAGAAATTTGTTCTAGTCGGAATTAGACTTGGACGGGTTACATTTGATCGAGTCCGAGAAATGGACCAAGATCGGAAAAATGGATCGAGTCCGAGAAAGGACAAAGATCGAGAATTTGATCGAGTCCAAGAAAGGACCAAGATCTAGAAATTTGATCGTGTGTCGGAAAAGACCAAGATCGGGGAAACTTGATCAAACTCGGAAATAGATATTTGATCAAGTATGGAATCTAAAGTCTTGGGAAGACTAAAGATGAGAAAATGTTAAGGAGTAACTCTAACACCCGCCGAATTCGAGGACGAATTCATTTTAAGGGGGGTAGACTTGTAACACCCGCGTCCCGGGATCCTAAAGGGGGCCGGTTTGTTTTAGGGAAAACTAGATCATGGTCGAGAAAGACCAATGAATAAGTTAACCCAAGGAAGGAATGAAACGTTTAAGTCATGAAAGGGGTAGATGACTTAGACGGTTTCGGGATAATCTAGTTATCATGGAGAAATGATCTTGGAAAGATTAGGAATGGCGAAGTCAAGGCCGAGAAACGGACCGAAAGACTTAGCCGGAAAGAACGGACAAAAGAGTCCGAGTTAATCCAGCTAGGTGAGCTGGACAAGCTGGACGAACTAGCTAGCTAAGCTAGGTGAGCTAAACCAGCTGGAGGACTAGCTAGCTCAGCTGGGTGAGCTGACCGACAGCTCAACCGAGCTCGGTGAACTGATCGAGTACTGACCTAGCTGGGTGGTCCGGTCAGCTAACACTCGAGTTGGTGGACTGTGGTAGCTCGGGATGAAGAGGTGTAAGGTCGAGCGGTTACCGACGAATGGTTACCGTTGGCCAAAGGGTGGATAAGGCAAACGGTTACGACCGGAAAGACGCAATCTTCCGGAAGGGTGCAATGAACGGAGGTGATGTTTCGGAAACACACCCATTCGGCCCCTATATAAGGGAGGACGTCCAAGGGCTTTAGGATAATTCTCACACACTTCACAATCACCATCACAACCCAAACGGGGTCCCAAAACACTCTACGAAGTGTTGGTCGGAAAGGGGGTGCGGCTCGGCGAGTATCTCCGGAATCGGAATGGATTCTCGGAGCCTCGACCGAACTGATGCGCATGCTACCTCCCGATCCAACGGTTTGATAGAATGTATTGAGGGATGAATGGGATGGACCGATCGTCTTAGAGACGGATCGGATCGGACAAACTGATCGTCGTACGGATGGATCCGATCAGAGAAGAAGACGGATCCGGATAGACCGTCGCACAGATGGATCGACCGACCGAGATAGGCGGATCGATCGTCGTGTCAACAAGTCGGATCGACGTATGACCGGATAGGTGTACGATCGGATAAACGGATCAAGGTTTAGATCGGCGGATTGATCGATCGTGCCGATCGGCGGGATGACCGATGGTACGTATCGGAGATCTTGTCGAGGGAACATGGCGGATTACATGATCGAGGATTCGATGGGAACCGCCGAAGGGTTCGACGACTTGATTGATGGTTCGGGTCGATAGCTCGATTATGGGGTCGATGGATCGTCCGTTCTATGAATCATATCGTCGAGGGAAGGACACGAAAAGGAAATGGATCGGCAAATCTAAGATTGTCAATATGGAAGTATTGACGAATCCAAATATAGTCCGATAGATGATATGGTTAACGGGAAGTTAATAAGGAAGGCGTATAAGGGAAAGGTGTTCGAAGAAGCACGAGGATAAGTGCAACCGAACACACCCAAGGGTCGCCTATGGATGCAATCTCACCGGTAAAGGGAGTAAGCACCGAGAATGGGTAAGTGACGTGGTTCACCATGTAAGGATCTAATATCGCGGCCGCCTTCATGTATCAATCGCCATGGCCAATGGTGAAACCGATTAGGAATCGGTAACACCAATGGTGACTCGACGGATAACCAACGGGAAAGTCCACGGTGAGAACCGGTGGACAAAACGGATGTTGGACCCGCGAGCAAACCAAAGGCCGACGGACGAATGATTTCATGGGCTAGCCTACGATAATCCGATGGGTGAATCCACGGACCCTTGGGTGTGATAATGATATTGTTCGGATCGCATGGATGGATCGGTAAGCCGAAGGCGTTATGACCACCATGGACCAGATGAGTAAACGGTTAGTAGACCATGGGCGGTCGTAGTGATAAACGACCGGATCGGAAACATGGATGGTTCGATAAGCCGAGGGCTTGATCGTCCACCATGAAACCGAAGGGGTGTACGTTTAGAGGACGGATGGACCAATGAGCCAAGAGCTTGATTTGGCCACCGTGAACAAAGGAAAACGTACGATCCCCAATCTCTATCGTAGGGACTTAGACCAGTGGGGTTGGTTGGATGAATGGCTAAGTAACGATAGAGATTGGTCCATCAATACACGATTGGTT